TATGGAAAAGGGCATACAAACTCTTCTGATGTAACGTGAGGTTAAAACTGAAAAGGCACATTTTTCTAGATGCTTCTTGTTTACTATTAAAGGTCCCCTATTATACTGTTTTTCATCAATATATCACAGGTCTCAGATATATACAAAACATGTCTCTGAAGTGTTTGGCTCCAAACACCAAACAGATCATTGCAGCATCCCATAATCCCCTCTGTTTCAGCCCTGTTTCAAAAGTGCTGATTCTCTGTCTGTTACTTTAGATGAAATTAAGGAGCCACTCCCCACGCCCCTCTGAGAGAGATTTGGTTAAAAAGAACACAATGGCCGCTTTCACACCAAGTACTTTGCCGTACTTAGTTCCCAGCACTTAGTTCCCAGCACTTAGTTCCCAGCACTTAGTTCCCAGCATTTAGTTCCCCCATGGAACTAAAGAGCAGATCGCGTTCACACCGGAATAAGTCCCTGAGGGAGGATTAGGCAAATGAAGCCGCTGACGTCACTTCTTCTTCTTTTGCTTTGGGTTTAATGGCAGGCCGCAAACAACTTCACGTCGTATACTGCCACCCGAAGTCCCCGGCCAGAAGTCCCCGGAGTTGGGGACTGGCTTCAGTAGAAGCTGCTGGGACTCCCAGCAGCTTCTACTGAAGCCTTCAGAGTAAATCGCCAGAACGCCGACACCTCCTCATCACTCCACCGCTCCCATGTTTTATTTTTGTGTGGCCATAAGTTAGTCTCTCTCCGTTGGTGCGCGGGGCTAATGCTAATGCTAATAATGCTAATGCCAGCAAATACAATGGTGGCTTCAAAAAACTTTTCAGAGTTTCACGGGGCGTGGTTTGCAATTCGCCCAGCCAATCAGAAATGTGTACTTTTTTCTCCCCAGGAAAGTACCACCTCTCTAGCAGGGACTAAAAAGGGGGTAAAAGTTCTCATGAACTAAGTTCTCTTTTTGGTGTGAACGCAAAATTCCAGGCACTAACAGAACTAAACGGGAAAAGTTCGGGTAAAAGTACTCCGGTGTGAAAGCGCCTAATGGTGCTCTAGGAGGAGATTCAGGTGATAAGGTGGGGGGGGGGGGGTTACCTTAGTAGGTGATTGGCTAATGGTTACTCAAGCCAAAACATCGTTATGACATCATAAAGTGGCCAACATCTGATCAGCTCATTTTCAGACAGGTTTTTATATAAATGGATCAGGACAAAAAGAGAGAGAATCTTTTTTCCTGAAACTTTCAGAATCTCTTTACACAGAGGGGACACATATTGATGTAGAAGAGACATGAAGAAGTCGAATTTGCTTAATAGGTGACCTTTAATATTAAAGTGAGACAGAAACCAGGCTAAAGGTTGGAGGCTATGTGAGTCCAGATATTCCCACAGTTAGCAGATGAAAGGTGGGTCTGACTGACGGAGGTTAGCAGAACCGGGCTTCCTTTGAAAAGCAGCTGACAATTCCCCGGGGAGAGTTGGGTTTCGACTGGCAGCTCTCATAGTGGGAGAGATTGGGAGGCCTTGGCTCTCACAATGCTGTCCAGTTTTTTCCGTAACAAGAGGTTAAAGAGGTGAAAGAGTGATAGAGGGAAACAAGAGGGTAAATTATAGCATGGTCTTGCAAATTACTTGCCCTTCAAATCGCCAGTTTGTTTTGAGTCAGGCTAATTTCATACGTTTATTGGGCCGATTTTCCCAAAATACCTCAACTTTTGGTGCATTATAGCGTACTGATGTTATACTCCTTGAAACCTACGCTCTTAAATTGGTGGACAGAACTTTTTGAGTCTGTGATTTGGTTTTTAACTGCATTTATAACATCCATCTCCCTTTGTTCTTTTGTAATTTACACTGTAAAGACGGCCCTTTCCAATCTCTTACAATAAGGGCCCTTGAAACCTGTGATGCCTTATGCTAAGCTAACGAGTCTTAGGCAATCTCTGAAGTGAATTCCCAAATATTACGTTGGTATTGATGTTGCAAATGACCTTGAAAGTAATAGACAAACTCACCATTAGAGCAATATTGTGTAATGCTATATCAAAGGTCCAGAACTGCAACTAATTTGACTTTTTGGTTGAAACGTATCTTAACAAGAAAACGTATTTCTAGAGAAGTCAGGAGAAGTCAACTTCATTGTCAATCGTTCAGTTTGTGTGTACAGACAGAGAGATCGAAATACCGTTTCCCACAATCCCGAATACAAAAATACAAATATATATAAAAATATGTATACAAATATGTATATCCTATATATACACAATCAACAGACACATTTATACATACAGTATGCACACACTTAGACGTGAAAAAAGCACAAAAATCAATATATACAAATTAACAGTCACTTCTATATCTTTGGGAAATGTACATTAGTGTAAGATTGTCCATAGCAGCGTAAAAAGTGTCTGGTGTTGGATTTGAGTGTCTGAGTGTGTATTATTGTATAGTTGTCAAATTGTAGGCCAATGCATGATGTATTACAAACACATTGGAGAGAATACACAGTATAATGCATGAGGACAGAAACAAATTACCAATTCAATGACATTTAGCAGACAGGTGGTCGAGAGTTGGTAAAACATGGCAGTGTTTGAAGGGTCTGATTCCCAGCGGGACCAGCTGCGCTTCACATGATCCCACTCCAAGGTGTTTGGGATAAAAGTATCCAGCAGATTGTTGCACGCAGAGTGTAGTAGAGGCTTGGGAGGCCGAGCGTGGCATTCTCCGAGAAGTGGAGGAGGAACTCAGATCCTCCGCTGGGAAAAGGGGGGGGGGGGGAGTCCTGCTCGAATGCTTTAGGAACCAGAGGTGGGAAGTAGTGGAGTACAAATACTTCGTTATTGTACTTAAAGGTGGGGTAGGTAATTCACGTCAGAAACCCTTTTTGTTATATTCCATGGAAAGCTGCATCCCGATAGCAATGAATACATTAAATGCTTTGACAATAAATACATTAAAACATGTCATCTGTGGAAGCCGTAATACTGTAAAAAGCACGACCAATCATTTGAGCCGGCCCGGCTAAAATAACTGGATGGCCTACCTGCCTGTCAGCCTTCCATCTGTGCACAAACTTATCTCGTGCCCTCATTGGTCATGTGTGCGTTCGTGTGTGTTGGAGGAGGGGCTCTGTAAGGAAGTCTGAAGGAAGGGGCAGATTTTTTCCGGCTGCGTATTTTCAAATTCTCGCGCACTCGAGCTGGTTTCTCCATTCTTACGTACCCTAGCTTTACTGTAAGTACATCTTTCTGGTATCAGTACTTTACTCCACTACTTATTTTTCTGACGACGTTTTACTTTTACTTCACAAATACCTGTACATTAAACATTATAATACATTTTTGTGTACAGACAGAGAGATCGAAATGCCGTTACCCACAATCCCGAATACAAAAATACGTCTAAAAATACATCTAAAAATATGTATATCCTATATATACACAATCAACAGACACATTTATGCATATGCACACATTAGAATAGATCCACATTAGCCATTAGCTTAGCACAAAGACAGTTTCGTTCAAAGTTTTCAAAGCATCCTGATGTGAAATACTTTTTCAAAAGCGTGACGAATGGCAGATGCCGTGGAAGGCTGGGTGTAATGAAACGTGGATTTGATCTGAATTCACCGCAGTGTGCCAAGGAGGGGATTGGTTTTAGCGTTACAGGCCGTGTGAGGTCACACCAGCTGGCCTGACCCTCGCTGACACGCTGGCTGGCCGGTTCCCAAACTCTCAAGCGGAGTCTCACATGACCGGAGAGCGGCTCTGTGTGTTTTACTAAACCTCAGGCTTTGCAGGAAACCGGTCCAAGATTTTGGGGAGCTGTTAATATCCTCAGGGCGTGATCAGAGTGATCTAAGGTCACTAAATTAGCTTTTACTTAGAGGTGGATGAGAGAGAAATGGGATGTTAAACAAGGTAAAAAAAAACTACAGGGAATAGTGTCAAGTGAAATGCGCAATTATCCATTCAAAATTGAAGTTACTGCTTTGATTTTTGATTTTTTCTTTTACAGAGGAAGTCTGTTTTTTCTGCATTTGTTTGATATAGGATTTTACACGGACAACATTGATTAAATCATGATTAATTGCCTAAATGTGGCCTTTGTGGATCCATTACATTTTTCTACTAAATCTTGCTCAAAACTACATTCAAAATTATACTTGGTAAAAAACAGTAATCTTTTAACATTTACATACACAATACAAATATTTGTTATACTATATTAATCCTTCTTAGATATGTATTTAATTGGTTGTCTCTCATTTCATTTACTTTTTTAATGCTCATATTTTAAGCATACATCTTGTTACTTTTGAATATTTTTGTGGATCATATTGGATTTATATTTTCTATGAATTATGATATATTAATGAAAGCGAGAAATGTAAAAGTAGTATTTCTGATGCAATTATGTGTAAGCAGCTGTTATTTTATTTTATTTCAGGGTAATGGCTCGTATAAAATACCTGAAGGTCTGAAATATATATATATTTTTTAAAACCTAAAGCCTGACCCCAGACCTGTCTGCTCACAGCTACAGGGGGAAGACTCCGGGGGCTCTTTGGTTCGTCTGCATGTCTGGGATCAGCTTTCTACTCAAAAGAATAGCTGTAAACCCTAACAACAGACTCCAGATCAGCCCTGAAGTCACCGCCTTATTTTTAACTTCAATAAAACTCTCTGCAACGTGATTGGTGGCAGCTATTGACGCAAAAGCACCAATACCCTCCACCGATTGGCTGACATAGCTGTCATGTAACGTCAATCAAACCGACGGACCAATCAGAGCCCGTGTTTGCGTCTTTGTTCCTCCCGTTTGGAGTGTGACGTGGAGGGTCATGTGTTGACGCAAAAGCTCTAATATCCCACAGCGATTGGTTGCCACAGCCTTCATGGAACGTCAATCAAACTGACAGACCAATCAGAAGCCGTGTTTGCGTCTTTGTTCCTCCCGTTTGCTGTGTGACGCGGAGGGTCATGTGTTGTTTGTGCTCTCGCCCGTAGAGATGTGTTAAGGAGGAGAAGGGGACGGATTGCTAACCCGAGCTAGCCGGATCCCTCCCGATTATAGAAAACACGGCAGTGCGTGGTCATGCACACACGGTAGGATTAAATCCGTGAGAAAAAAGCACGCTTTGGAATACAAAATAGGGACGAGAGGACTACTTTTCTGGCGGAATAACAAAGCCGGTGTGGATTTTGCATTAAAAAAATCTGAGCCAGCTGGCCTAGCCGGACTCTGGGAGCTCGTCTCCCAAAAACAACAAGAATGGGGTCTAGCTCCACTCCGAATAGCTAGTAAAGAGTGATCTTTGATTGCAGAATGGCAAATTTCACGAATTACCAGGAGGGTAAAGCAGTGATGTTGATGGTGGAGGCGCACGGTACAAATGGAGACGGATCGGTCGGGGAACCCCCTTCCCAGTTAATTAATATCGGAGGTGGTGCTGGTGGTGGTTCTCGCTTGCATCAACATCTCCCGCCCTCCAACCACCACCATCACTACCAGCTGGCCCCACAGCAGCAGCATCTTTCCGGGGAAAACATTGCAGAGTCTCCAGGCTGCAGGAAAGCCTCTTCTTCTTCCACCGCGGAGGAATCTGCCGCTTCGCCCGCCGCTAGCGGCAGCCATATCTACGCGGCGGTGAGCGTCACTAACACCTCCGATGTTGTGGATGATATTCGCAAATGTGGCTATTTAAGGAAGCAGAAACATGGACATAAGAGGTTTTTTGTGCTCAGGGCTGCCAGTCACCTCGGTCCGAGCCGCTTGGAGTATTATGACAGCGAGAAGAAATTCAGGAGCAGCCTGCGCTCTGCTGCCGCTGCTGCTGCCGCGTCTGCTGCAAGCGGTGGAGCGGTGGCCGCTTCTCCCCCGAAAAGGGTTATTTACCTCTACCAGTGCTTCACGGTGAACAAAAGGGCGGATTCCAAAAACAAACACCTCATTGCGCTTTACACTAAGGATGAATATTTTGCCATTGTGGCGGAAAACGAGCTGGAGCAGGAGGACTGGTACGTGGCTGTCAGTGAGTTGATGTGTGAGGGCAAAAAAGGGCATGTGGATTCAGATGATTTAGATGATGGATATGGTACTGTCACCCCTGGTACTGTGTTTAAAGAGGTGTGGCAGGTGAATGTGAAACCTAAAGGACTGGGTCAAACTAAAAACCTCACAGGTGTTTACCGGCTATGCCTCTCAACGAAAACGGTTCACCTGGTAAAGTTGAACTCTGAAACCCCCTGTGTTAACCTCCAGTTGATGAATATCAGACGCTGTGGACATTCAGAAAGTTTCTTTTTCATTGAGGTGGGCCGCTCCTCCTCTATCGGGCCCGGGGAGATATGGATGCAGGTGGATGATTCTGTCGTGGCCCAAAACATGCATGAAACCATCTTGGAGACGATGAAAGCCCTGAAAGCTTTTGCAGAGTTTCGGCCCAGGAGTAAGAGCCAATCATCCGGCTCCAACCCGATGCCCTTCATCACAACACGGCGCCATCTTGGAAACCTGCCTCCAAGCCAGACGGGACTCCAGCGGCGGTCGAGAACAGAGTCAGTCGTCGGCACGCCACCGTCGAGTAAAAGCTCCGGGGCGAGTGGTTATCGCTTCCGAACATCCAGTGAGGGTGAGGGGACGATGAACCGGCCGTTTCGCTCTGCCACAGGAAGTCTGGTTCACCTCAACTCTGCACGGGCCCATCATTGTCGTCAGGAAGGCGCCGGCAGCAGTGGTGTCGCTACAGGAAATGCTGGTACGAGCACAGGAAGTGGACGCTACGTCAGAGCCATCCAGGGGTCGTCGTCCGCTTATCATGCCCGCTCCGCCTCACTCCCAGTCTCCCACTTCCCCTCCACCACCAGCCCAGTTAGCGTATCCTCCAGTAGCGGCCATGGCTCCGTTTCCGACACACTAACCCGCCCATCGAGCGCCTCAATATGCGGCTCTCCATCCGACGGAGGCTTCAACTCATCGGATGAATACGGATCCAGTCCCGGCGACTTTAGGTACTTCCGGGTGCGGAGCAACACGCCAGACTCCCTCGGAAACACGCCGCCAATCAGAGAAGAGAACTGTCTAAACGACTACATGGCGATGGGCTGGAACCGGGAAGTGTTCGGCACCAGCTCTGGAAACAACAGCGGAGGAGACACGCCACGAGACGAAAGCACGTCGACGACGGAAGACGACCGCTTTTCTTCATCGTCGCTGAGGAGGAGGACGCACTCGTTCTCCAGAGCGGCTGCTGCTGCTGCCGGTGGTAGTGGAGCGACTGGTGGTTCTGGAGTAGCAGTTTACCAGAAAATGACCCAGACCAACTTCTCATTGGATGAAGGGTCGGATATCGTGTTACCGTTTGGCAGTGGGTTGCTTCGTGGCGGGCCTTCTTCCTCTTCTTCATCGCTACGATCCGACTACAGCTCCTGCTCCGATCACAGCCAGCAGAGCCGACCCTCCACTCTCTCCCGTACTGAAACCAGCTCTGATCGCCCTCCTCCATCTTCCTCTTCCTCTGCTAAAGAAGACAGCGGCTACATGCCTATGATGTGTGGCGTGGCTTCATCGTCGCAGGACACTCCCCCTGACTACATGCCTATGCAACCCGGCTCTTACCCCCACCCCGCCTCTAATTCCCCGCAGTTTCACAGTCCAGCTTTAGGTCACCGTTCAGCCCACCAGCTCCAGCCCCAAGACTCCCACGGCTACATGATGATGCTCCCAGGGGGCGGAGGCTCTCCTTCCCCAGGACATCCGGCCTCCCCCAGCCCTCACAGTAGCTCCAGCATGCCCGGTGGGAGTGACAGCATAGCAGAGAGACCAGAAAATGGAGAATATATGGACATGTCGTACTGCAGCGGTGGGTCACGAAAGCCCCCAAATGAAGGGAACGATGGGTATTATACACCTGGTACACCTGAGGGCACCCCAAAGTCTTACAGCCCTTATTTCTCCCTCCCTCGCTCCTACAAAGCCCCCACCAGAGAGAGAGATGAGAAGGAATATGGGGAGTATGTTCCCATGAGTTCTCCTGCCAAGCCAGTTTTTTCATCCATTGCCACAGCTTCCATGTTAACACCAGAGAAAAGGGGTGGGGGAGGCAGTAGCAGCAATTTAACCCCTTCGCACCCACCTCCGCCTTACGGTGCTCATCACACGACCGCAGCGATGGCCGACAGACGCGCCGAGAGGCCGAACCGCCTTCCTTTGGGCCGAAGAAGTTTCCACGGTCCACTGCGGGTTAGTGAGCCCCCCACGGCGTCTTCAGGCACCTCAACATCTGTCCCCGCCACCGCCAGCTCCTCCGAAAGACCCTCAAGTCCCGGAGAGTATATTAACATCGAGTTTGGCGATCATTATCCTCACCAACAACAGCCCCCCGATTATCCCCACACTGTCCAAGACGAAGCGCCTTCTTCAAGTGACCGCCGCTCCTCCCCTCACCAGGATTATATGAGTGTGGAGGTGGGGGCAGATAAGCAGGACTCCTCTGGATGTAAAAAACAATCACCCAGACCCAGTCTAGTCGCCCCCTGGAACCCACCGAGCTACATCCGACCCCTGGCTACCAATCCTGGGGCCTCTCCTGGAGCCGGGGATCACTGGAGGTCGATGGGCGACGACTACACGGACATGACGTTCAGCAAAGGTGAGAGGACTCAAACCAGTCCGACAGCCATGCTGCAGCATCTCTGTGTGATCGAGGGACGTTACGGCCACCCTCCCCCCGCCTCTTCCTCACCCCCTCTCCTTCCTCTCACCCCTTCGAGCCCAGGAAGGGTGCAGACACAACAGCTGGAGCCCAAGGTGGTTCGAGCCGACCCGCAAGGCCGACGGAGACACAGTTCAGAGACTTTCTCCTCCACATCTTCCTCTAACTCAACTCCCTCTGGACTTGTACCCTCCGCAAACCCCCCAACACCGGCCAACCCCACAGCCCCTTACCTAGCGGAGGGTCAGGCTTCCAGGTGGACCAGCTCGGCGTCGTTTGACAGCATGTGGGTGTCCATGGAGGGCCTCGGCGGGGAGTCACCGGTTCACCATGCTCCTGTAAGATCCATGGAAATGGGTGCAGCATCTGCATCAGCGTCAGCGTCCTCTGGAGGCGGCAGGATGTGCAGGAACATGTCTGTGGGATACCAGAACGGCCTGAACTACATCGCCTTGGAGCTGAGGGAGGATGGGAGTAACGCGGGAGTAACGTCCGGAGCCGGGAGCAGCAACGGGGGTTTGGTGTCGACGCCGGGGACGGTGCCGACGCCGGAGAACGGAGCCTACGCCAGCATAGACTTCACCAAATCAGACGGGGTCACAACGACAACGAAGGGTGAGTATGCAAGTGTGTGTGTGTGTGTGTCTAAAGATGCTGCATTTTGTCTCCATTGACAGGCATTAGTCACATTTTATAATAACTTTATTTATGTTGCAACTTTCATGCAAGATGCAGCCCGTAAAGTGCTTTGCAGAGCAAGAGAAGATCCATAAAAACAATAACAATGCGTAAAAAACATATTTTGAAATGAGTTCACAAAACCACTAAAATGACCCCGAATGAAAACCCAAATGAAATAGTTCATTTACATTCCAAGGGAGATTGCTGTTCTAAAATCCAAAAGGTTATTCTCTCCTTTCATAATTGTATATCTTGGATCTGCAATCGTTGTATTGCTTTACTACAGTCTACACACACATTTGACAGTGTGTGTGAGAAAATGAGTGAAAGAGGATATTTTCTCCCCTCCCTGAAATCTAAAATAACCCTAAGTGCCGCATGCTATTATTAGTCGTATTTTATCTCGCAAATCTATTTTGGATGGAGTCTCTGTGATCTTGACAAGGCTGCGTTCGGGCGCTTTGAGCAGCCAGAAGTTACTCCTTTGAAGGCATCTATCCAGGGAGCTGAAAGTCTCGGGCTATAACAGGAAGTGGCACCAATATATGGTTCATGTTGAGGTCTGTGTGTGTGGTGTAGTAGACAATTAGCTCGAGGTTCATCTGAGGTCAAGTGAGGGCTGAATTTCCCCCCAAAAAAGGGCCCGACTTCCTGTCTTTTTGTAGTGTTTTCTCCGTCTGAGCACGTGCCGCTGTTTTCTTTGTGTCGGCATGTTTGCAGAGTGTACTTAGTGTGTGTGTGTTCACAGCCTTTTGTCTGCTGTTAAGGCTGTCACTTGAGACATCGTTCAAATATATATTTATGTATACAGAACAGGGATGAGTGCAGTAGCGGTTAGCATATTGGCAAATGCATAAAACAGTGCTGTGATTGAATGGATCTTGATAGTGTTTACTTTTTGCGGTGTTGAGTAAACTCAGTAGCCTTTGAGGACACACGCTGACCACTATCATCATTTTTATGTGTATATTGTGCAAAAAAAAATGGCAGCAAATCCTCATAAAAAGGCACCTTGTTTACTTTACATACGTTTTGATTTGTTGCCACTGTTATCGAATATCACTTTGAATGAAATATATATTGATAATAGGACATTGTATTGAAATAGGAGCTGCAGCTTGCATTGAGACGTGAGTTTGCTGCAGTCTTAAAAAGCCCAGACGTGGATATATATGTGTGTGTTATTAACATTTAGTGCTGAGGTTAGGTCTGCAGTCAGTGTGTTGGAGATCAAGAGGAATACAAGAGGATGTTATGACTCAGTTTTCAGTCTTTCCTTTCCCCTTTTTGATCGCCTCCTTTCCCATATCGTGTCCTCTCTTTTATACTCCCTGCTTTCCCCCTCCCATCCTCCCTGACTCTCGCTTCGTGTGTGTGTGTGTGTGCATGAGTCAGGATTCTCTGCAAACGCTGGCTGACTCATTTGTTTATCGTGTGTGTGTGTGTGTGTGTGTGTGTGTGTGTGTGTGTGTGTGTGTGTGTGTGTGTGTGTGTGTGTGTGTGTGTGTGTGTGTGTGTGTGTGTGTGTGTGTGTGTGTGTGTGTGTGTGTGTGTGTGTGTGTGTGTGTGTGTGTGTGTGTGTGTGTGTGTGTGTGTGTGTGTGTGTGTGTGTGTGTGTGTGTGTGTGTGTGTGTGTGTGTGTGTGTGTGTGTGTGTGTGTGTGTGTGTGTGTGTGTGTGTGTGTGTGTGTGTGTGTGTGTGTGTGTCAGCCTTTGATGTGGCGCTGTAATTTCGGCGGCAGCGTGTCAAGGCACACAGTTGGGAGGAAACGCATCATCATCGCTCAGGAATGCACTTCCTGTCAGCTGCGATGCGTGCACACCTGGATCCTTGACCCAGAGGAGAGAAAAGGGAGGTTTTCTGTCAAGATAATTCAGCCGTAAATATTAGATAAAACGTGAATTCAGCTTTACGGGATAAACAGACTGGAGATGCCAGGGGGAGAAAAATAATGGACGAAATATTAGGACTTTGTGGGAGAAATAGCACTTTTGAGTTGCGCTGCACGATTTGGAGAAAATTGCTTATTTTGTTTAACAATGCAAATCAGTTTTGCAGGAATTGATCATCTGTGTCATTATTCTCATGATCCTTTTTGCTTTTTTTTAAAAATATGTATTGAAGACAGTGACACACAGAAAATACATTTGGTACATTGATAGGTTGGATTGAACAGTTCAAAGTGTTCAGCTTAGTCTCTACTATTGTACATCAATTGACAATTATTCTCATTATCCTTGTATCATATTTAAATTGATCATGATTGTGTTTCATTTTAAAGAAGTCTTGATGTCTCTGCAGTTCTACAAATGTTAACTTAAAAATAGTATTTTTTTAACATATCTAGCCTTTAACATTATTATTATTATTTGGATATTATATGAAATTAGTTGCGATTTTGATGCATTTTCTAACCCTAACAACAGGGGTTATGGTTCATTGTTTAACCTTGTTATAAAGACATGTAGTATTGCAACCAGTCATACTTTTAATAACTTAATTAATCTGCATTTTGCAACTTTCTATAGCCAAAGTTGGTGTGTTCACAGTCCAAGATTAATTAAGAAAACGTGCAAAAACCTGTGTTTGAGAAATCAAAACAAGACTATATGGTTGTGTTTCAGCTTCAACAATACACCAGTTATTTAATGGTTTCATCTCTGATGGTTTGCCAAGCTAAAGAACAGCATGTATTAGCTCCATGTGTACTTTCCATCTCCATCCCCATCATTTCCATTTTTTAGTTTCAACTTTTGACTTCTGCTCTCTGTTCTCAGAAACGATGCTCTCTCTCTCGGGAAAGTTTGATCGCTAAATATCCCGTTTTATTGAATAATTAAAAGAGTTTTATATAATCTAGCTGGCAGTCCTTATCTTAAAGTACTTGAGTAAATGTAATCACTTCCCACCTCTGGAGAAGATGGTACAAGCAATACTATATTCTGTCAAACGTCAAAACTCATATAAAAGAATACACAACTAAGATTCTTTACTTTGTGGACTTGTAATATATCTTAACCAAACATTAAATGGTTAAAAGCTGTGTCTCCACGGCGTCTTTTGCACGATCTCTGTCTCTTTCAGTGGATTTTTCAGGCTCTTTTTAACAAAACAAAACACTTTACTAACTTAAAGTACTGGAGTAAATGTACTCGGTAACCCCCCCACCTCTGGAGGAGACGGTACGCGGCTGCCCTTTCCTCTCGTTCCCACCTCCTCTGCCAAACCCTTCTATATTTACAAGTCTATTTCCAGACTGACACCAGTTTATGGGCCGGTCCGAGGCACGCTGGTAACAGGACCCCCCTTTCTGCTCAGAGGGCTCTCTCTCTCTCTCTCTCTCTCTCTCTCTCTCTCTCTCTCTCTCTCAAATAGCCTCATATATTCACCCACAGATGTTAGAGTTATTAACCATCATGCATTGCACACAAGGCCATTTACTTTCTGACCGTCACAGGAAAATCCCACTGTTTTCTGCAGAGGTTTTGTTGTCAAAGTGTCAAAAGTACTCAGATCTGGTAGTTAAAAAGTAGAAATACAAGAGTGTAGGAATAGTCTGTTACAAGTACTGCATTCATGAGGTGACTCAAGGTTTATATTTCAGTTGCATTGTGTAATCAATGATCTTTTGCTCATGTGATAGTAAGCTAGGACTGCATGATTTGGAAAAATTGACGTATTTTGCAAAAAATAAAAGGGATTTTTTCTACTATTATTATATATTTTTAAGAGTATCCGTCCCAAACAAAGCTAGGATGTCTCACAATAATTAATATATATTGATATTCTCTCATATCGAGGCTCGCTGCTGCGAGGAGCGGGACACTGTGAGCTGGCTCACTGGTGTGGGGTCGGCGAGACACCGCGGAACTCAGCCTGGGCACACACACAAACTCCCAGCCACGCTGCGGGTGTGTGTGTGTTTCGGGCTGGGTTTCGCTGTGTCTCGCTGTCTCGCAGACGGCTACTGGGCTCACAGGAGGAGGGGGGGGCAGGAGCTCCAACAAGCCGTTTAGGACAGAGAGTGAATACACATACTATACAGAGATGCTGTATGAGAAACCAATGTGAGTTTGGAAAATTGCACAATATAAATATATTCTAGTAGACCTCAGCAATGGAATTATGATCAGTAGAAATGGCCGTGACATGGGACCTTTAAGACATTCAAATAGTGCGGAATTGATACAGTTATTGAACATAAAGCTTATATGCAGCTCCAGATGATTCGATGCAAGTGAACAGCTGTTCTTCTCCTCTACAGAAAGGTCTTAAAACCTGCTGGTCATTCATGTTTTACAAACTATCTTTGGAAGTCATGCAAATGGAAGAAAGAGTTATTAATTGAGCTCCACATGCAGCAGGGCTCTCTCTTTGGGAAGTGTTGTGTCTCGTCAGAAATACAGTCTCCTACACACTGCCAGCTATGTGCTCTGCAGACTTCAGTTACTGTGAAGTGTGGATTTCAGAGGTTTTCGTTCCTCAATCACTCCGGTTCCTCTCAAACATGCAGGAACTCCCATTTTCTACCTTCATGTTTCCCTCTCTTTCTTTCTCTCTCGGACATACGGTAATAATAAAGCAGGGTTTTACTAGAGAACCCCGAGACTCACTGGAATGTGACGTTAGATGTTTTACAAGAGAAAGTCTGTGTGTAAAAAAAACGACAGCGTTTGTTCGACTTATTTATCCTGGTTTCTTGTTTTTTTTTACATTTTGAACTACCAGCAAAATCCAAAATGTCTACAAGCTGCAGGGGAATAGTGTTTTGAGCAGAAATGTCAGACGTTTTTACCTTTTTCACAATTTATATGACTAGAAAACATCATAGAAATATCAAGAAGTGTTGGATTATTTCATCAAAGTTTGTGTGTGTGTGTGTGTGTGTGTGTGTGTGTGTGTGTGTGTGTGTGTGTGTGTGTGTGTGTGTGTGTGTGTGTGTGTGTGTGTGTGTGTGTGTGTGTGTGTGTGTGTGTGTGGTGTGTGTGTGTGTGTGTGTGTGTGTGTGTGTGTGTGTGTGTGTGTGTGTGTGTGTGTGTGTGTGTGTGTGTGTGTGTGTGTGTGTGTGTGTGTGTGTGTGTGTGTGTGTGTGTGTGTGTGTGTGTGTGTGTGTGTGTGTGTGTGTGTGTGTGTGTGTGTCCTAAGAAAGTTGTTTTGATTAAAGTCCAGGACGAGACTGCAGAAAACCCAGAGACCTCCGACTGCTCTTTTTCTATCTCCACGTCTTTCTCAATTAATATCAATGGGGCTTTGGCATGGGATACATGTTAGCGTTGCCAAAGTAAAGATAACTTAAAATAGCCTTTTGAAAAATGAATTTGTTTAAGTAAAGATGTCTTAACATAGAGAAATGTAAACTTTGCAGATATATAACGGAGACATCTTTTTTATTTTCAATGATACGTGTTGCAACGTCACTTTTTCTCCCAAGTAAAAAGTGATTCTTTGGCAATGCTCTTGATTCTACCGTGAGTCTCTTGGGTTGCCAGGTTTGTCTGCATCCTTTAGTTGTGGTCACCTTCCTCAGGCTATCATTTGGTTGATGTTTGGGCCAATGCAACATATTATTTCTCAATCTGTGACACGTGTTTTTTTCCTTACGTCAAAGTCTTGGTATTTGAGTTTTAGTTCGGCAATGCTCTTCCGCTACCTCAACTCTTTTAGGGTTGCCAGGTTTGTCTGCGTCCCTTAGTTGTGGTCACCTTACTTTGACTATCATTTGGATGGTCTTCCTCTTCCTTCTCTTCCTCCTCTCTGTGTGCTCCTGTCTTTTTTTCTATCCATCTTTTTCCCTCCATCCCCCCTGACAAACATTCGCAGCAGCATTCCAGCCGTGCCCCCTGTCAAAGCGTCGGTATTGTGGCGTGCCGCTCACATTGTTGTTTCGCACAAAGCCTCGCTCTCAGTGGAATAACCCAGCTGGACTCCGGCCACGAAACCCAGGGTCACACGAGGCCAAAACGGCCCGTGATAGCAGGCAGGAAACAGACTTAATGTGTGTGTCTGCTGGCAGCCGCAGAGATCCAAAGTTCACCGGCCACGCTCACTTATTTACCGGGCAAACACGTTTTTTTAATCAGCGAGTAGAGAGAGCCAAAGCCGCCGGGTCTCACATGTGTGGGGCGTCTTTTTTAAAAAGCTTTCAGACCCAATGTGACTGTGATTACAGGACCAGAGGTTTGTTTCCATGATTGTTGATGTTACAGCAGTGCTAAATAACCTCCAAGAGTGTACAGAACTTATTTACAAGTCTGGTTGTTGGTCAGGATAGTTTCATTACTCATCTTATCTTTATGTAAACTAATGATAATTAAGATAATAGTCATTATAATTGTATTTCAGGTGGGAACATTGCATCTTGTTATAGTTTTGTCAATTAACTATAGGCCCTAGAAAGTGTGTGTGTGTCTTTTTTACTAACTTTTTTTAGTAGCTTTTTAGTTTTGAATACTCATTATTTTGACCTTTGATTAATACAATGGTAAGAAAATAGGGATGCTCCGATCGTTATCGGCCGATATTCACTCCGATCAGGAGAGCCGGTCACATGACGTAAAATACATGACACTTTTCTCTGCGCGGCAAAACAAGCTCGCCAAAATGGCTTCACCGGTCTGGCAGTAATTTAAGGTGTCCGAAAAAGACAGTAAAATAGCGGTATGCAACGTGTGTGTGAAGCAGAAATCCTGCAGCTCCGCCCGCTGTGACGGACCGGTGAGCGGAGCAGAACACACATTAAGAGTTAGACCTAACACACTTAGCCATTTTATCTACCTCTGGAACAAGATAAACTAGTTATACATATATTTATTCTTCACTGTCGGGTCGCTCATTACTGGATCAGTGAGCTGCATGAGACGATACTGACAGGCTGTCAGGAGAGGGAGAGAGGGGGAGAGAGTGTTATTATCCAAGGTTAATGTAAACTTGAATAATGTACTTCATTTGAATGTAATAATTATGTTTTTTGTGGAAGCGCATCATGTATTGAAAAATGTATCTGAACTTTTCGATCCGTTACGATTATAAACTGAAGCAATATACAAATGAGCCCCATTAACTGAGTTTTAGACATCACTTTAAATGGAAGATCCCCATAGGCCCCGCCCACCCTATGATCGGATCGGCGATCGGTATCGGCCGATACTGATTCCGGTGATCGACGATCGGAGCATCCCTGGTAAAAAAAGCTTGCTAAATAACCTCTTAAGAACGTATGTGGCTGATGGTCATTTCAGGTGGAAAACGTGCATCTTTTTATAGTTTTGTCAATTAACAGTGGGCCTTAAAAGTGTGTGTCTTTTTACTAACTTTCTTTTAGTGTTGAAAATGTTGACCATTGATTAATACAATGGTACAAAACAAACGTTGCATGTTTCTTCCTTGACTTTTAGGCTAGGTTCTGCACAATTTATCAACATTTCAATAGTGTGTGTTGGAGGAAACCCCCAAACTGAGGGGACCGTTGTGTTTTTTTTTCGCCTTTGCAGACCATTGACAAAAACCTATAAAACACTACAGGAGAGAGAAAACGATAATAGGGCCTCTTTAAAAGCTTCTGAAGGCGGATTTCTGACCTCTTCTCTTTCATTTTCTCTTACAGACTGAGCGTCGGGATAATGGTTCCCCTTCTTCCTCCTCATCTCTCTGGTCGGGGCTCTCGACCTTTGACCTCTTCAGAAAAACAACAACAACATCAGATGACTAAAATGCTTGCAGTTTTTATAAGTGTATTTCATCATTATTTTTGTGTTTTTTATGCATATCTTGTCCTGTTTTTTCTTTTTTTTTATAATTTCCCCCCTCTCACAATCAATGCTGCGAGTGTACGCTGCTTTTTCAACAGACTTTGGTGGAGGGGGGGGGGGGGGGTTAAAAGAGCCTCATTATCAGGCTCTCCATACGGTATTAAAAAAGGGACGCTGGAAGCAACGGCATTGATGGTACGGACTTTTATGTTGCGTTGACTTTAAAATATGATTTTAATTCTATTTTTTACCCCCCATGCATTATCCTTCCTCAATATGGTACCGCACAGTTATTACATAAGTTGGAGTAGATTTATTATAATAGATTACCCAAATAAATGGTACAAGCTCACAGGTACTGCGATTGTTCCCAAATACCATCTTTACCACAGTGTACTGAAACAACCCTCCTCATGTTCTGTAGCACATATTATATATTTATTTGTTGCAATAGGTACAAATATTCCGGTACATTTCTTTGTTTGCTTTCACTACAGCGATGGTACTCGGCAATGCTGGAAAGTTTTATGGTTTTTTATTCATTACTGATGTGTTTAAAGGGGTAGTTTTGGCAAAAGCTATGAGGCTAGTTAGCTTAGCATAAAGACTGGAAGCAGAGGGAAACAGCTAGCCTGGTTCTAAAGTTCAAATTGGACATTACAATATATTTTAAAGCTTATAGTTTGATATTTTATAACTTGTATTGTTTAATCTGTACATAAAACCCAGGTGTAAAGTTAATAATTCATGTTTTATGGGCGGTTATTATGGAGGACAATTTCCTGAAGTCTTGTTGTCCATCCCTCTCCTAAATACATTTCGTAAAATACCGAAATGTCTTAAGTACCCTTTGGCTTTTGTGCAGGTTGAACCAAAAAGATATCGCATCATTATTGAGATCTCGAGTAACTGACAGGTGGATTTTGTTACCTTTAAACAGAGCTAGGCTAGCTGTTTCCCTCCATCTCAAGTGTTGATGCTAAGCTAAGCTAGCATCATCGAAAATCTGACACGCAGAAAACTATTCCTTTAAAAAAAAATACATCAGGAAGTAGCTTTAAGTTTTGGAAACACGACTTTGACTTATCCGAAACTAAAGCAGGTGTTTTAATTTTTTCTTTCTTAAGTTTTACCTCATATGGTCCGTAGCACAGTTCAGGTTAGCGAAGGAAAGACACACACACATACACACACAATCACACTCTCATACATACTCGCTCACACACACCACAACACTGTAAAAGGTTAAAGTACAGATGCTGAAACTGGGATGCAAACATAAGACTTATGCACACATAACATATCTGCAAGTGAAGTGTGTACCTTACAGCTGTGGCATTTATATACACACACACACACACACACGTCATAAAGACGCATGTCACGGTCATGTGGCGTCTCCCATGTCTGCTCTATTTAGGCCCCCATTTTGGCTCTTTGTCAATGCTATTGACGCACACACACACTTGGTGACGTAAAGGGGTTTCCAGTAACCTGAGCTTCAGCCCCAGGTGCAGCGCGCTGGTCATACTTGCCCCTTTACAAACTCACACACACCCGTATATGCACACGCACACACATTCGGACAGGCAGTGGACACACACATCAATCACAGTCCTATCTGAATGCTTGCTGCCTCTTCACACACACACACTTTAACAGACTGACACGCCCATATTTAGCATTTCTACGCTTCTCTCCTATTTCTAGACTGACAGCCCGCAGAATTGCAATTTTTTTTTCAGTATTCGCTCATCTAATGCTACAAATGCCCTGATTGTTCCCTTCTTTTTAATCCTCCCACTCTTTGTTTTGCTGTTTTGAATTCATTTTGACTGAAAAGGCCTGTCACTCTCGCTGCTCTTTTGTGTGCGACGCATCACTGTGGTGCCGCACAGCAGGAAATCTGAGCGACTGAGCCGTGTGTCTTTTAATAATCCTCATTTGGAGACGGTTTTGTGTCGAGGTTTAAGCGGAAAAACGTCGGTACAGAAACTCCACTTCCCCTCCCTGATCATCCACATTTCAAACGGTCTGATTTCAAACCCACCAAATGCTGTTTTTAAAGCCTGTGACGTGTCTTATGTGTACATTACGAACAATTTGACATACTTTTCATTTGCCCCACTTGTCGGACGATCAAAGAATATTAAGGCTGCTGCCCAAGAACATTTTCTTATGTTTTGAAAAAATGTTTTGTGTACTTACTATGCTACAGCGAAGTGTTGCTTTTATGAGGTTTATTTTATGGTAAATGCAAGATTTCTGGGGGGGATTTTTGAAAGAAGCCTCTGTAACTTATTTGAAGCATTATTCAAAAAATGGCTAAATGTTGTTCATGTCTGATTGCCTTCATGTTGGATTTGACCCCCTTTTTTTTAAACCATGACCATTAATTAATTTACACAGAATCTGTGTTTATTTTGGCAACTACTCAACCTCAAAACTGTCCTCGATTTTACCCATTCTGATGTTGAAAATCAGCTGTTGTGAATTTTTCTTGTTGGGGGTGGAGAAATGAGAAAGAAGACCTACGTAATATATCATTATATATATATAATCCTCGCAGAGAAGACTTAGGGTTACTGCATCATTATGCAATTTCCTTTTTCCTCTAATATTTTGGTTTCTTTTGTATTCTAGTTTACAGAGGGGAATAATCATCTTATTTTTGGTTGTTTTTGTCATACTGGGGCGACCTTGTTTCTCTGAAAAACAAAGCAAGGCTAGTATTTTTCTTTTTTAAGAGTACATAGGCATTTTGCAGTTATTTGTATAAAGAAATGGGTAACAACCTCTGCCTAATGTTTATTTTTTTGTAACTATATTACAGTTTATTTGCTGCTGTGTAGTACAGTTAACGGTTGGAAATGCTGTCGATGAAGATGGAGATGATGTTCATCGCGGGTCCGTATTTTTCCCAGAATTCCTCTGGGGATTTGGGAGGAGGGGGATTGGGAAGCAGATCTCCTGTGTTCTTAGTTTCCGAGTTGAATGCTGTTGTTTATTAGCTTTACAGGAAAGAGAAAGAGTAAAAAAAAATACTGTGGAGGTGTGTATCCTTCGTATGTGCATTATTTTTCAGCGACGTACGTCCCATATACGATAAAAGAAGAAAAAAACGAGTTAAAAAATGTGTTGGAAATGGAAAATCCTCCTTCTGTAAATAACGAAAACTCAAGTTGTCGCTTTTTTCATGTTATGATCGGCGCCTCGGCAGGTGCCCCCCCTATTCTTTTGTTTTTGTGTTACTTCCTTCTCTCTTTTCTTTCTCGTTTTTCCTCGTGGAGGGAAAGGGGGGCGGGAGGAGGCGATTTGAGCATCGGCATAGTGTTTATATTTATCAAAACTTTTTTGCTTTCGATAGAGCTATTGCAATAAAAATGTGTTCATGTAACTGCTGTGGTCTCACTGTCTTCTTTACTGTGTGAGCGTCGTGCATCTTCATTTAAAGTGGACCTATCATGCTATATTTGAATAATATAGTGTAGGACCATACCTATATAAGGCATATTTATACTTTTTTTTTTTCAAAATACCAAACATGCATTTTAGCCATGCCTCATTTTGCTCAATTTGACAGTTTCTAGCTCTGGTCAGATTCTGTGAGAACAGCACCGCCTACAGGCCTGGCATATGTACTACATTGTCTCCAGCGCTTTAGAACGGCAATGGCCGTGGCTGTCTCCTCCTGATTGGTGGAGTTGGCCCAATAGCCGTAGCGCCACCGTCCTGACGTCAGGACAGTGTTCAAATCTGGATCAGTTTTTATCAGATCCGTTGCAGCCCCTTTTTTAGAGATTTGGGTATGGAGGAAAATAGAGAGGGTTGTGTTTTCTGACACTTGGTGAGTTCCCTGGAACACCGGGGACACATATTCATGTATAAAAGACGTACAAAAGTGCATTTTGCATGATAGGTCCCCTTTCATTTAAAGTATCTACACAACCAGTGGTGGAAAGTACATTTACTCAAGCACAGAAGTAAAAAGTACTTTAAAAAATGTCAAATGTACACATTGCAGCAGTGATATTAAACCAAAAGCATTATGTAATAGTTACGGTACATCTTACTGCATAATAACTTTGTTTTTCATATTTTAAGCACGTGTTTTTACTTAAATATGGGTTACAATGCAGGATTTTTAAGTATTTGCACTGTTGTATTCATACTTCTATTTAAGTTAATACTTCTTCCACCACATTTGATATTACTTCACACGTCTGTTTTCTCTTAACTCGAATAGCACTTCCAATCAAAGTCAGTGGTGGAAAGTACATTGAATCAATTTAAATGCATAAACATTGTCAAGTGTACACATTGCAGCAGTGATATTAAACCAAAAGCATCATATATAATCGTTAAGGTACATTTGTTTTTCATATTTCCAGCACATGTTCTTGATAATACCTCGTGTTTTTACTTAAATATGGTTTATAATGCAGGATTTTTAAGTATTTTCACTGTTGTATTCGTACTTCTATTTAAGTTAATACTTCTTCCACCACATTTGATATTACTACACACTTCTTTTTTCTCTTAACTTGAAAAGCACTTCCAATCAAAGTCATTGAACGTAGATATTTTGGTGTACAGAAATGTTAACGTGTGTGTTTATAGCGACTCTCGGGCTAATTTTGACACAGCGACTGTTTGAGATGTTTCACACACTTTGATTGAAGCAAAAAAACTACCTCAGAAACAGGAGGCGTAGAACAGAAAGTCTAGTATGCAACGTGACATTAATGTACTATAGCGAAGTAGTATAATATACTATGATATATAAGAAGTTGCCAGTCTAAAATGTGAATTTGCTCGTAAAATAAATATATATAATTGGACATTTGCAATTTCCTCAAATGTCTGACACCTTTATTAGACAATCCTTTTTTGGCACATGTACTTTCTCCGCCAAAAAATGAGAAAACATTTGGACTTTTGCGCCAAGATATGTGAAGCTTGGCCTGACTGTGAACATATACCATGTTTATTAAAATAAAAAAGGTTTTATTCTTTGTACTCTGGTTGTTTTTCTAGGAAATCTCAAAGTCATTGACACATTGTTTAAATCTGCACATGATAAAAAAAAATTGACAATTTGTTAATTTAAAGGTGGGGTAGGTAAGTTTGAGAAACCGGCTCGAGATACACTTTTTGTTATATTCCATGGAATGCTCTTAACATCCCGATAGCAATGAATATCTGAAGTGCTTTGACAAAAAATCCATTAAAAAATGTCATCTGTGGAAGCTGTAATACTGTAAAAAGCACGACCAATCATCTGAGCCGGCCCGGCTAAAATAACTGGATGGCCTACCTGCCTGTCAGCCTTCCATCGGGGCACACACTTATCCCGTGCCCTCATTGGTCATTGGTCGGGTTCGTGTGTGTTGGAGGAGGGGCTCTGTAAGGAAGTGGGAGATTTTTTCCGGCTGTGTATTTTCAAATTCTAGCGCACTCAAGCTGGTTTCTCCAAAATTACCTACCCCACCTTTAAGTTGATAATACGTCCACTTGTTGTAGGTATATGATTGTTTTCCACTTGCTTCTAGTCTGTTTGCTAAGCAATACTTATAATATATTATGAATACTGCTTATAATAGCATGAGAAATAACACTAGAAAGAAAGCTAGCCTTGTTTAATTTCCGGCTTCTTTTGTTATAGTAATAGGGATGGGTACCGAGCCCCGGTATTAAACGGGCCACGGGGCTGAATTATTGAAGACCGTGGTACCGTTAAGCTCCAACGTTATCGGTCTTTTTATCGGTACTGGAGACATGTAAAAAATATGTGTCATATGTATTATTGCTACAGAAACATTATATTGCAGTTTTAGTGTCGCCAACTCCGTTTCCAATATGCAAAAAGACAGCAAAATGCGTCTATGATTATTTTTAGTATTTTCGATCTTTCAATCCAGACGAGAGATCTCTCCCCCGTCTGTGTGCGAGGGGGCGGGGCAGTTTACACACACGCGGCTGCGACATGCAACACACACACGCACACACACACACACACACGCACACACACGCACGCACACACACGGAGGAGATGGCGGAGAGAACGCGCTCCGAGGTGTGGTTAAACTTTATCCGTCTTGAGGTGGACAATGCTCGTTACCAAAAGTGCAATAAGAGTTTAGCATGTAAGGGCGGTAACACGAGCAATTTGTCTAAACATTTAGCAAAAGTGCACCACATTCAGACGGAGGAATGCACCGGGTTCGACTGTCTTTTTTTGTTATAGTAATTAATAGTACAAGAGTCAACATTTACATTAGGCTTCATATTCATTAATGGAAAATAAAGACCTATTTTAGACTTTTTATCACCTTGTTCTTATCTATATTGTTTGCAGTCTTTGTTTGATTTCATTCAGTGCTCTTATAAAGGGAGGGACTGTCTTATCTAATTTGTTTGACTTCCCTGTGAGCTCACTTTAATTCCCTTTGCTTCCTGGATGACGGAGCAACACATGACTGCAACATGTTGTTTTCTGACTGAATTGATAATCATTTGTGCATTTTACTGCCTCTCCTGAGTCCTGACCCTTTGGCCTCTGAAACCTGTTAAAAAGATGGCTGTCGACGTGAAAAAAACACTCTTACTTCCTCGTTCCTGCAGCTCTTTCGGCAGGTTAGTGGTTTTTTCGCTGTGTTTATCCAGCTTCAGGTGACCGGCCGGCATCTCAAAGTCCAACCGTCAAAACAAATTCAAAGTTCACTTTGTGTATGAGAGGTCAGCTGAGAGGATCTACAACTCGGTTTTTCTGGTTTGAATCAATGGATTAACAGCTTTTCACATTTCATTGTCATTTCAATTTGTTCATAAAATAATTTCTGTTAAATTTCATACATACAGTAAGTTTTAAAACGACTATACATACTGTACATCAAGTTCCTCACTGCAGCTGTTCCCCACATTCAATGCAAAACATTGTACACACAGTTCATATTCCTCTCAAGTTACACTATACAAGTAATACTTTCAATTTATTTGAGAGACTACAGATTTAAAATACCCAATCACACCTACAATTTTTTGTTTTTGGACACACACATTCTAAATAATCTTAAAATGTTTGCATTTTTTATATGTGGTTGCAAAACTGACTGATGGGGTTTCTGCCTGCTAAAAACCTGCAACACTTCCTTTTAAAAATCTACTTTATTGCAGGAAAACTTGAACATATCATGCCCAAATTAGCCCTTTGTCAGGTACAGAGGAATTGGACTTTAAACATGAAACATGGATAAGTCCTAAACTAAAGTGTATTTGGATTTAAACACCTTGGTTGCAAGCAAGTCTTAGAAAGTGGATTGTGAGTCAATGTAAAAAAAAATCTTTACAATTCCTCTACATCCCATATTTTTAGAGATAAAAGGGAAAGCAAACTTTCCATCAATCATTTGAAAAAACATATTTGATGTTTTCTTTGGAGCATCTATTCGTGACAAATGTCTTACAATAACAGGAAGAGTTCACTGCTCCATAAAATAAATGTGGTTTGTGAGGATTCACCATTAAACACTTCCAGATTCTGTAAAACAGTTTGAAGAGCGGCTGTGTTTTGTTATTTGAAGACGTGCTGCCAAAACCAGGGTGAATTACTCTTTGGCAAAATGTCAAATTGTGCTGGGAATTCCCTCCTTTCAACAAGCTTTCTGGAAACTCAATGAAGAGCTGAGGTTTAGACATTATACTGACCATAGAAGTTATCAGGAATCGGTAATTGGATCATCTAATAAGATTATCTTTGAGTCCCGTTTTAGGCTTTTTGGTCTTGTTGACAGAGGTGGGAAGTAGTGGAGTACAAATACTTCGTTACTGTACTTAAGTACCTTTTTCTGGTATCAGTACTTTACTCCACTACTTATTTTTCTGACGACTTTTTACTTTGACTTCTTACATTTTGAACACAAATACCTGTACTTTCTACTTCTTACATGTTGAACACAAATACCTGTACTTTCTACTTCTTACATGTTGAACCCAAATACCTGTACTTTCTACTTCTTACATGTTGAACCCAAATACCTGTACTTTCTACTTCTTACATGTTGAACACAAATACCTGTACTTTCTACTTCTTACATGTTGAACACAAATACCTGTACTTTCTACTTCTCACATTTCCCAAACAGGCTGGTTCCTTTAGTTTGAATGTGTGTTTGGTGGCGTGATCATTATTATTTAGAGTCATTGCGTGCCTATTGATTTGAACACGATCCGTGTATCCATCATTTCCTGGTCTTCTCTAAAGAAGAGGGACCAATGAAAACGTTGTCATGTTGCCGTTGTTCAGCATGGAAACATTCATTAGCTAACAATGACATTATTGTTCTATTAATATAAAGGGAGGTCAGGTACTCTTTAAAACAGCTGCTAGTTATGGGT